TTTTAGTTAATTACAAAACATATTATTGTAGTGTAAAAGTAATTACTTTAGGGGGGGCTTAGACGTAGCTCCCCTGGGAATGGAATGAGCCCAGAACATGCAACTTTGGTTGAGTAGGTCATGAGCTTGACCACCACCACTTGTTTAGATACAATTTACAGATATAGGATACTTATGAGACTTATGTTTTGGGTAGTGACCTACCTTTAGAATACCTCAAAGTTAACCTCCATTCAGGCTTTAATAATAACTGCTTTCGAGCTATGTCTGTCCATACAATTATCGGGATCCGTTAAGGTTATAATTGGTTTATCATGGAAGTCATGCGTTCGCCTATATTGAGTAGGGTTAGCATTGATCTGGACTTGACGGCTGGCGCTCTCAAGGTGATCAACAGAAAACCGATCCACCCAAGAAAAGAACATTGAACTGCAGCTGAAAAACTTATTTACAGATCAACAACGCACACCACCAACTGCGACTCAAAAGGCGTTGGAAAACAGAGCTCTCGCTCGTGTTCAGTTCATTTTCAGACCTGAGGACGATTGTAATTTAAAACACTTTTTTTTTTCAACACAGACTTAATAATAACAAGAAGGTTTTATGACTGCAAATAAGGAAAAGAAAAGTAAATATCAACAGGAAAGAGATTCTTAAAAGTAGAAGTCAGCGAAAAAACATGAAGGATTATCATGGTGTCAGAATTTGTTTAAAAGAAGCGAAAAATTCCATTTAAAAGCTAGGAAACTTATATAAGTTATTAACATTAACTGCAGAGCTTAAGTAAGTGAAGAAAATACAAAGATATTTAAGTTAATAATGGAAATAAGAAACTTTAAGAATGCAAAGTTTAAGATGCACGTTTTGTATGACTAAAGTTTGGATAAGCATGTCTGCTTTGGGGCTAAAATAAAGACTAGCATAAATCTTATATAACTAAGCTGTATGATTTAAGAACTTAGCAACAAAAAAAAATGCAAAAAGTTGACTAATTGTTAAACTTTTTCTAGTCTTAAATAAGTAAAGCCTAACCTTATATGGTTTTGGAGTTAAATTCCCAACCAATAACCAGCAGACACCTCCCTTTTTTTTCTGTTTGTTCTTAAAATGTTGACACCTGGATGTTAGGACCATTAGTTTACCAAACTTTAGACTGAAAAAAAACTAGGAAAATAACTAAATTTCGATTGATGATGATTAAAAAATGTTTACCAAAGAAAAATAACAAAGGTTTCAGGTTACGTTTATAGAAATTCTTTATAAAATTGCGGTTTTTTCTTCACTTTCTATACATTAATGCAGTGCTCGTTGTAATAATGTTTATGAATTGGAATTTATTGATTATTGTATTGATTGTTTTCCATCTTTGTTACAATATTTTACTAAGAAAAATACACGTTCAATGAGACTTGACTTAACCTTGAGGGTTTTCCGCCTCTGTTACGTTATAATTACCAATGGGTTTTCGCATGAATTGGTTTAGAAAACAGGTTTTTTGATCAGTTGATTGAACTAAAACATATTCTAACTATCTTTGCCTTAAGTTAATAGTTTGTATTGTAAACTCACTCTTTTCCAAATAGATTTTCCCTTTCTTTTCTTGCTGTGTAGAAACTAAGAATCAGAGAGAGTGCAGTAGTGGACCGACCTATGCAAATATGCAAACAAGAGTCGTAAACTAACAGCAACAAATGGCCGGGGCAGAATGGGATTCTGTGTATGTGAGTGTGTGTGTGTGTGTGGTCTTTTACTAGACATGCCACTTGGACTCCCCTGTCCAAGTCCATCCCGGGAATATGTCAATTGGGTTTGCGGCTGTCATTGAACTTTGTTTTTAGGGAAAAGAAGGGCCAAGCGATGAGTGTGAGTCTTATTAGAGATGACCGGTTCCTATGCTACTATATACGTATATATATATATATTTCATTCCTCGTATTTATGTACATTTTTCCATGTCCATAAATCAACGCTAACCAAGCGGGGCGACATGTGCATTGTTGAATGGAACCAACTCTCTAACCTCGTTTTTAACCTTCCCTCTGCCCCCTTAACCAATCTCATCATCTCACTATTATCATCATCATCATCATCATCACAGTCGCTGCCCTTCTCGGTGCGTTGAACAGCTGACACTGGCAATGGTGGATCTCATCACGAGTCCCTCCCGGGTGGAGTTCACTTGAGTAAAGTGCCAATTACCTAAAAAGTAAAAATAAAACAACAAAAAAACAGAAACAAAAAAAGCGAAAAAACGACAACAAAAACCTTTTCGAGCCATGCAATGAGTCATTCAGTCGACCGTTGAAAAAGGCCATAAAAACAGGCAACTCCATCATCAGAAAGTCAACGAAAATGACCAGTAAGACGTCGACAGTTGTCAGCGCGATGTCACACATATCGTTAACAGTTACTTTGGATAGTAAGCCAAAGGGAGGGGATTCGGAATAGTCCTCAGAAGTCTTTAAGAAAAGTGTTGCTTAAAAAATGAGCAAGACTTTGGTTTCCAGGGTAATTTTTTAAGTGTTTAAAAGTGTTAAAAAAAACGAAAGTTTGCTGATTTTTAAAACTAAACTTAATTACAGAGAAAGAAAAACTATTTCTGGCATTTCTAAAATCATTTTTTAGACTTCTCAAATCAGATTTTCCTAGTTTATCCGTAAATCCATTACAAATCCCTCTTCTTCTCCTGCAAGCCAGTTCCATCTTTTCGTGTCTTTTTCTTCCCCTTTCTCTTGGCCAATTGCCAGTCATTGTGATTGTGTTTTTGCCTTTTGCCCCCCAAACTGCTGTTATCCCCTGTTCTTTGTCGCTTTAATACGTGACTTATGCCTGGTTAAATTACTTAACACCAGTCGCCAGTTGTCGGGCGTCGTTTCAACTGCATTATATCAACGATATATGTATAGTAAGTAGTAGTATACAGCAGCAGTGGCAAGTAAGTGGTGGGTAAGCGATAAAAACAGTGCCCAGCTCAGCTATCGGCAATGTCGGCGGCGGCTGCTGGAGAAACGCCAAAAGTGCTGGACCAGAGAGAGAGAGGAGGGGAGGGGTAGTCCGCAGTACGCCGCCTTAGCTTTTTGATTGCCAAGCGACAGCAGTATTAGCAATATGCACGGAAAGAAATAATTAGCTATAAAGCTGAAATATTAAAAAGTTCTTAGAAAAGTGTGTTTGATGGCTGAAAAAGCTTGAAAAATCTTTGATTTTCTAGGAATTTTGTGTGTTCTTTCTGAATTTTTAGTCATTTTGTGTGATTTGTGATATCAAAATCATCTCATCATCATAATGAATCATATCTTAATTTGTATAACTTAATATATATCTTAGATATTTTCTCAAGGCTCTTCTCTTTTTCTTGGCTTTTTGATTTTAAACTGTTTATAAATTGCTAAAAATTGTGATATTGCTATTAAATTATATATAAAATTCCACTATTTAGAAAAATATATTATATTATCTATATCCCACTATATCTACTATATATATTCTTGATAAGAAAGTATCAAATATTTCTTGTTGGCTTGAAATGTGATTTTAAAATCAATAAATGGATATTTTTTCATATAGATTATATATTTTGCAATGAAATATATCTTGAAGAGACAGACGTGTTTTCTGTTAAGTAAATCGAGACTAGATGATGATTGGATTATCTTAATTTGATATTGAACTTGAAGTATTCATTGTGATGATGGAATGTGGTTTAAAATCTTTGTTTTGTATCGAATATATCTTTTCCGTGTTATATTCATACTCTTATCTAAGATGTCTTTCACTTTCAAATTCCATAGTAAATATAATAAATATTATAATGATATTATAATCATATCAGTTTGATATAGAACTATAAAGTATAGATCATGTTTGCTGGAATGTGCTTTGAGTTCATGAAGTTACTATGTCTTTCTATCTTCCCAGATCTAATATATCTTATCTTCCAATTCCATTCATAGTTTCTCAGTTTCTAGTCTTTAAGATAAGCAAATACAAACAAAGTTACGAAGATATTACCATATCAATATGAAATATATAACTTCTTGCTGGAATGTGACTTAAAATCATTAAACTTTTATGGAAATTATATCTTTTACAATCTGATATATCTTATATATCTCCCAACTTGTGATTTCAAATCATTAAATTGATATTAAAACTGCCTTAATATCAGCTTTTCTCTAAGTGTGCTTGGTGTTGTGGTGGCGGGAAGTTGTTGTCGGTTCAAACTAAAAATGTGTAACGTGTTTGAAGCGAAGCTGTCGCGCCCAGTATGGGTTAGGGGAGAGCGGAAACGCTTGGCCCAGCTGCATTGGCAACCGACTTCTGACTATATATATTGGACTACCGACAATCGCCAATTGCTAATCATGAAATCGACAGACGGACGGTTCATTGTGGCACGTTTTGAGAGAGAAACAGCAACTAAGATGGGGAGCCCAATTGATAATTTTTAAACATTTCTGGGTCTTGTTATTAAAGCCAAAGTTTCCCCCCTAGCCAAGCATAGTTATCAACTCTACGGCTCTCATTTTAAATTCAAGCTATGAAGGCGACTTCTTCTCGAGATTTTACAGAGAAACGGTTTAAGAAATATACATATTTCAAATTGGTTTTAAGTTCAAAGTTTCTGTTGTTTTTCTTTCGTTTTTTGGATTTGAAACAAGAAAATTGTATTAAAAATACAAGACAGAAGATTGGAGTAACCGGAAGAGCGGTTGAAACAGCTTGATAAGATATCTGTAAAGAGTGAATAATATTACGGATATAGTATATTTATATTAACATTTAAAAATAGAAAGCCTTGTAGGCTTTATTTTTAATTACAATCTTTGAAAGGAAACCTTGAGTTCTTCCGTTTTAATAACTAAAGAAAACTAAGTTTGTATAATCAGAAATTTAAGGATAAATGGAGAAACTATAAACAGATCTTTACTTTAAACTCACCTTCTATAAACATCAAACTTCTAGTATATATACTAAACCACTCCTTAATTCCATTCCAGATCAACCTTAGAGGCATCTTGGTGGGCAGTGCTGCCAGTGGCGGTGGTGAAGAAGTAGCAGCGGCTGTTGGTTCAACGTTAACGACGACGGCGACAACGAACGCCGCTGGCTTCGTGGCTGGTGGGGATTGCCCTGTGATTGGCGCCGCCGGTGCTGGTGCTGGCGCTGGCGTCAAATTGCGCAGGCACAGCGATCGTCCCCTGACGCCGGAGGCCAAGCAGCTATCTCATACATACCGCATATCCATGGCTAATTTGGAGGATTCACAGGAATCGGAGCTGGATCAGATCCTAGGCGAACTGAGTCTCCTGGAGGCACAAATCACCTATGGCGATGCGTCCATGCTGCCCGCTGTTATGGGTGCTGGACTTGCTGGAATGCAATTCCCACCACCACCACCACCACCACATGGACTAACCCAATTGCCAATTGGCAATGCACCATCATTGGTTTCCATGTCGGCTGCCTCGTCGCGCACCCATTCGCGTACCAATAGCAGCATCTCAGCGGATGTGAGCAGTTGCTCGTCGTCGGGGATCTCGGAGAATGGACATGGTCTGGGACTTGGTCTTGGTCTTGGTGGTCCTGTGCCGGCTGGAATGATAGTACATCCACAGCCGCCAGTTGGCATGACCATGGGCATAACGCTGGGCGTTGTTACGCCCCGAGAGCCGCGCACAGAGTCGCCCGACAATGACTCCGCCTTTAGCGATACGGTATCGCTGCTGTCCAGCGAGTCGTCGGCCTCCTCGAACACATCCCTGCAGCAACAGCAGCAACAGCAACAGCATCAACACCAGCATCCACATCAGCAGCAACATCAGCAGCAGAAACAACAGCTGGTCAGCTCTGGTCAGCATGGTGGACATGGTAGTGGTCAGCACGGTGGTCAACAGAGTGGTGCTAATAACATCTCGAAGGCAGCCAAAATCCAACTGGCATTGCATAAGCTGGAAAGCGCCTCAATACGGCGACTCTTTGTCAAGGCTTTTACCTCAGATGGAGCCTCCAAGTCACTGTTAGTGGATGAGCGTATGGTCTGTGGGCATGTTACACGCCTGCTGGCCGACAAGAATCACGTGCTGATGCAATCCAATTGGGCGCTGGTCGAGCATCTCGGCGATCTGCAGATGGGTAAGTGATTCTAGCAATGCCATGTTAAGTTGGTAACTTACTAACAATGTCTTTAACCCACAGAACGCCTTTTTGAAGACCATGAACTGCTGGTGGATAACCTAATGACGTGGAACTCGGATGCCGGCAATCGTGTGCTCTTCCAGCAGCGACCCGACAAGGTGGCCTTGTTCTCGCGCCCTGAACTATATCTGCCCGGACCACAGATGGCGCCCGGATGTCAGCATGATGAGCAGACGCGGCAGATGTTACTCGATGAGTTCTTCGATTCGCACGCCCAGCTACAGCTAGACGGGCCGCTCTACATGAAGGCGGACCCGAAGAAGGGCTGGAAGCGTTACCATTTCGTGCTGCGCTCCTCGGGCCTCTACTATTTTCCCAAGGAGAAGACCAAGAACACGCGCGACCTGGCTTGCCTGAATCTGTTCCATGGCCATAATGTCTATACTGGACTGGGATGGCGCAAGAAATGGAAGTCACCGACTGACTATACTTTTGGATTCAAGGCGGTTGCGGATTCCTCACTGGGCAAGTCATGCCGCTCGCTCAAGATGCTCTGCGCCGAAGATCTGCCTACATTGGATCGCTGGCTAACGGCCATACGTGTCTGCAAGTATGGGAAGCAGCTGTGGGATAGTCATAAATCACTGTTAGAGGATCTCTGCCTGAACCGTGACGATTCCGTATCGCAATCGAGCTTTGCTGCCTCAATGCGCAGCGAGTCCATCTCGAGTATCTCGTCGGCAGTTCCCTCACAATGTGGCAGCGTTTCATCGGCCATCAGCAGCATGTCCAACTCGACTAGTGGACGCACATCGCGTGCCTCCAGCAGCAGCTCCAGCGGCTGTCTTTCGGATGACAACAACGGTTTCGACTCAGAGTTCACCACGGGCACCATCAAGCGTAAGCCTTCGATGAAGCCCAATCTACCGCTGACCACGATGACGCGACAGCTAAAGGAGGTGGGCGAGATCACTATTTGCGAAAGTGCCGGTGGCGATGCCAGTTCTCCGGAGCGCAGTGGTACCCTAACGCGCCGTCACAGTCGCCGCAAGTCGCAGGAAAGCAACGGAAGCGGCACACTCAAACGACGTCCAATTCCTGTACCGGTGGCCACAGTTGTTAAACAGGTAGAGCCAGTAGGCAGTGCCTCGTCCACCTCGTCCAGCAGCAACTCAACGCCCACGCCCACGCCAAGCATCTGCGCCAAACCGCCACCGGGTGATGCCGCCTCGCTGATGTGCTCGTCGACGCTGTCTTTGGATTCTCTGCCACCGCCACCGCCGCCACCCGCATTAGATGGTTCGGAAGATCAGGATGTGTACGGATCGCAGCTGTCGCTGGCCTCACTGCCACCACCGCCTCCACCCGAGGATGTGCTGGCAATGACTTATGAAGGACCACCCAGTCCATCTACTCCCACACCAATGAGCACGCCCATGATGATGCCCAATAGCAATGGATCTTTGCCTCCGGCGGTGCCGGCTAAACCCATGAAACCAGCAGTGAAGCAGTCGTCGGCGGGTGGTCTTAAGGCTGCGCCTCCATACAAGGCGCCGCCGGATTATGTTGGTCCAGCCTTGCTGGCCGGACCTCCGTTGCCGCCGCCGCCACCCGCCCAGAAAAAGGTCTCGTTTGCAGACTCACCGGTGCTGCTGCGTCGCAAGATGTGTTCGCCAGAGCCAGCGCTGCCCCAGCGATCGCCCAGCACTACGCTTAGCTGTCATTCTAACAGCAGCACGGGATCAGCCTACCAGACCTATGCTCCAGGACCGATGTTGCCGCCACGTTCGGATTTGGCACGCCTGTCAAGCCAAAGCAATGGCAGCAGCAGCGAGGTGACCTCGCCAAAGCGCCTGCAGGAGTCCGCCTCGAATCCGCCTCGTGATTTCCTTAAGGATCTGCAGCGGGTGATGCGTAAGAAGTGGCAGGTGGCGCAGAAATGCAAGGCAGAGCCGGCCACAACGCCGCACGAAGTTCTCGGTTTCCGGGACTTTAGCAACGAGGATTTGCTGGCCGCTCACAATCTCAACTCGGGTGCAAATTCCTCGCACTACTACCGGGAGACAGCCAATGTTAGTCATTGGGTGAGGGAGCACTATGAGTATGCACACAATGCGCTGTACGAGAATGTGCATGCCCAGGGAAGGGCCAGTGGTACTACTGGAGATGCTGGTACACCTCCTTTACCGCCTCCGCCTGGCAATTCCATGGCAGCCAAGAAGCGTCCACCGCCGCCGCCACCGAAAAGGAGCGACAAGACGCATCTGACTAACAGGGTGTAGAAACAAGCTAGAGCGGTTCTAGAGTAAGTGAAGTGGTAAAAAATATGACTTTTTATCATGCGATTAGAAACTAATTTGATTTTGTTTTGTTTTTAGGTGACTGATTCACTCCCTCGGGATCCTCGTTCTCCGAAAGAAAGGCGCACTTTTACTGATCTGAAAGAAAGCTTAAGCTAGAAAAAAAGAATCTTACAAATTCCTAATTAAGTCTAGGCGACAAACTGAGCGAGATGGAGAAACCAACTAATTAAAGCATACATATATATGTATGAATATATATATATATATATATATTTTCTAAGAATATGCTATATGGCCACGCCCACTTCTCTTACAAAAGTATTACACATAACAGAGAATCAAACTGTAGAGCTGCTAACTTCTCAGTTAAGAGAACTCAAACCGCATTAAAAGTGTCAACAAAATTGTGGCTAAAAATGATTATAAATTTAGTTTATTTGTTTCTAAATATTTACATATTTTTTATATAAGTTTTAAGTATAAAGTTGTTTTTTTTTTAAAGAAAAATATATTCAAAAATCAAAAGTAGTGCAAAAATTTCCCTTTTTTTAACTACAAAATTAGCTTAGCAAGTTTTGCCAGACCTTCAAGTAACAGTTTTTTGTTTTGTTGACATTTTTGATATGGTTTGATGTTATTTCGTCTATATTTTGATTCAAAAAAAAGCAAAAACAAAAAGAGAAAAGAATTTGCATTAGTAAAAATATTTAAGCTAAATTTTAGTTTGTAAAAAGCGAAAACGAAATGCATTTTAAAAAACGATAGTGCATTATTTATATAAAGAAAAGAAAAGGCAAGGAAACTAAAGTAGCTATAGGCAAGTGTAAAGTGTTTTTTATATATTATACATGGCACTTTTTAAATTGTTTAATTGCTCTTAGTAATGATTTTACGCATACGTTTCTTTTTTTTTTTTTTTTGCGATATTCTTTGTAACGGGTAGAGAGTGAACGCGTTTTGTAAGCGCATGAAATGCGCTGCGCTAGCAAAGGAAATGCCTTATAAAGCATATATAAACCTAAATCAAGTATATATATATATATACACCTAATATATATATATATCTATATTAATATATACTTCAAATTTGTGTTGATCTATCTATCTATCCAAATTGTTTTGATCTTGATTTAAACAATTGTAATTGTACTTTGATTGTTCATTTAAAAAAAAAGAAGACATAACCAAATGCTTAGTTTTCAAAAGATTTGTCAAGTTCCTCAATAGTCTTAAATTCAACTTTCTCTTTGTACTTATAAACAGATTAAAAACAATACAAAGAAAAGAAAATAAACATAACAGACAGATCAGCGCCATAAAATGCAAATCAAACTATTTTGTAGTGAAGGCAATAAGAGACAGAGAGAGAGAGAATGGAATTAGTTCTGTACACAAATCAAATATCTAATTCATATAGTAATTGTAATTGTAACTGTAATAATATATAATATATATATCAAATCATTTTTATTTGCTAAATTTCATTTGGTTTTATGATTTTTGGAAGCGTTCCTATAGATTCAAATTTGATATGGAAAAAATGTTATATTTTCAGAGTAGCTTAACTTTCTTTCTTTTTTTTGGTTAGGGAAAACTTACTAACCCTATTGATTCTATATATAATCGATAACAAGTATTGATCACTTTTGTAATTTTGTTTTTTGTAACTTGTTTGCCATTTGTTTTGTATGTATGTTTGTGTACAGCCAGAGACAGCCATATATCTATTAAAAACATAAAACCTGTAAATCTCTAGCACGGTATGCTTATAATAATATCAAAAACTAAGTATCAGAGAACTCAATCAATCAATCTTTTTGATCTTATGCTACCGTTAGCTTTGCCTATATATATATATAATTCTATATGAGGTTTTGTTATGTTTTAAATCGAATAATGCTCGAAATCAATCGACTAAAACTTCGCCTTCTCTAACCAGCCATCCTAGAAGTGTTCAGATTCCCAGACTCTCCGTATTATCATTGCTATTGCTCCCAATCCATGTCCAGACATCCCTTATATATATATGTGTGTATATCTTTTGTTTTTTTTTTGTTTTTTTAATAACTAAAATCACAAGCATTGGGTTTATTATGGTAAATTTCGCATTTTACTTTCCTACGTATACAAAACTAAAGGGTATTATGCATATAGATCTAGATATAAACATACTTAAATAAAGGAAATGCCAATTTTTTAAAGCTTGAATTTATATATATGAAAATATTTTTTAGAAACTATATGCTATATATATCTATATATATATATATATGGTAGGAACACAAGGATGTGCCATAGGCGCCGTCGTCGTGTCAAAAGAAAAACAAAAACAAAAACCTGCAACATTTTTTGCTAAATGAATGTAATAAAATCTAAATGAAAACCTAGTCATTAAGTCCAAGATAAAAATGAGAAAAAACCTAAATTAAAAGCTAAATAAATTTATATTTTAATGACATTACAAACATGCAAAAAAAAAGAAAGTGAAATCTAGAAACTTACTCTCGATGCTTTAAAAAACAAAACGAAAACAAAACAAAAAAAAAATGATATACATTTTAAAGATAATTTCGTTTGCCATCTTACATATATTATAATTTATAAAACATATTGATTTTTGTTTCCGTTTCCGTTTGCTTAAATATTTTTTAATTTCAATGTATAAAACGATTAAGTAATAAATCAAGGTTCAACTCTAGAAGAACAAGAAATCAAACACAGAAAACACAGAATCCTAATTATATTAACTAAGGAAAAACACTCATATTACAGCCCAAGCTAAAAACTAAATGAAAAGACTACAAACGGTGGAGAATACAAAACAAAAATAAAGTAAGTTTATTATATATAATTATATCGCCGAAACATCATTCAGCAGACATCATTCATCACTCTATGCATTAACTACAAATTTACAAAATACAAAAAAAAAAAATACAGCAATGGAAAAACTAAACAACAACAACAACAACAACAACATCTAACTAAATAAATCAAAGAAAAATTCAATTTAAAAATAAATAAAAAAATAAAATAACAGAAATTCTTTGCAGGGCTATTATATAGTGAACAATGTTGCCATTTGATACCATTTTTTCCACAAAATAAAAACACACACACATTTGATATAAATATATATATATATTACTATATATACCTTATATTCCGAATCAAATGGAATTTTTTTGTAATTTTGATAGAAACATTCAAAACATATTTAAAGCAAAAAAGAGCTAACAAAAACTGTGCGAATGAAACGTGTTACGAAAACTATGAAAAATAAATGCGAGAAATGCCTAAGAAAATTTGAAATAAATGAAAAGTTCTTTTTTTGGGGGATGGGCATAATACTGGTGTGGGTTTCTTAAGGGGTAACTTCATCTGATTTGGCAAAAAATGCTCAAAAATTATCTTTTAATGCAGAGAATGCAGATTTGTCAAGAATTGCAAAAAAAGCTTAGCAAGGTATTACATTTCATATTTGGACCATTATTGGCCAAGTTATGAGCAAAAGAATGTGGAGTTTGGAGAAACCAAAATTCGCATTTTTGATAAGGGGTACCATCATCAAAATTTTCGAAAAAGGGCTCAAATTTGACATTTCAAACTGTAAATGCAGTTTTAATGAGAATAAGAAAATACGCTCAACGAGGTATTACATTCCATATTAGGTCAAGTAATAAGCAAAATACTGTAATTTTTAGGAGAAAATTAGACTCAGGCAAATTTTACATTTTCGATGAGGGGTAATATCATAAATTCTTGTGAAAAATGGTTCAAAATCAACTTTTTAGGTTTGTTTGCAGATGATTAAGATTTAAAATACAAGATCCAGAAGGTATTACATTCCATAGTTGGACTAGTATTGGCTTAGTTAAAGGCAGAAAACTTACATCTTGAGGGGCAAATTGGGACTAACCAAGATTTGGATTTTTGATAAGGGGTAACATCACGTTCTTATGGAGCAGCAGTAACAGTAAATCATAAATTTTAAATGCCATTGGCCAATCTTTGTTTTGATCAACTTTCGTAAACAAATAATAATGGAAAAGATTACGACGGAGTTTAAAGCTTTTGTCTGCCCGAACTTTTGATCCGCTCTCGCCTACTTAAGCTAGCTTATCTCTTATATTCTCCTATTTTGGCAAGCAGAGCGATCGAAAAATGCCGTCAAACTTTACAAGCTTGAATGAAATCGTGAGAAGTCTTAGCTGTAAAAAAGATAAGGTGGATAAATTTAACTTATTTTCGTTTTTATATATCTCCATGTCAAGAAAAGCCACTTCTTTTTCGCGATTTTGAAAGATCAACCAAATATTAAAATGTTTGTAAAGAAAAACATCAAATTTATTTGAATTTTGAAAAAAATCGGCAATTTTGACAGTTAAGAGCAATTTTTGACAAATTTGACTATTTAAATATTAACAGAAAAATTTGACTGTTAACGGAAATTTTTGAAAAATTTGAATTTTTCAATGTAAACGAAGAATTCGAATGTTAACAGAAATTTTTAAATTTTAACAGACCCTTAACATAATGTTAAGTTTTGAATGTTAACGGCTCTGTTATGTTAACTCACTGTTAACTGAAATTTTTCGCACTCCATGGCCCCAATAATTCCCAAGAGGTTCTAGCACATATGTAGTGACTATGGCGCTGTTGGCAGGTGAAAAATTAGTCATGTCATTTTCAAGTGTGTGTGTTTGTGTTAGTAAAGTGTCTCCAAGTGGTCCAGTGAGTACTCACCATTACATTGGTGGTACTTGGACATAGCCTCCATGGAGGATGCAGTGCATCTTGGTTTTTTTTTTGGAAATCCATATTCTGGACTATTAATGAGGTGTGATGATGGAAATAGGTGACGATGCCTTCTATAAATGAATTTAAGGTAGGTGGCAAACTTTTTTATATATTATTATTGCGTAAGCCGAGGGGCATTTTTGGCCCAAGGTCCGCAGTTTTTGCAAACGGCTTGCATGCCGCCAATGCAATGCGGATCTTTTAAGAAAAAGTTAAGTTAAGCTAGTCCAGCTTGGGATTACTGTCAGATCCAGTCCATTGGAACTGGAGGTCAGGTACTCGTCTGCTTTTGTTTTTTTCGTCTGTGGGCTGCTGTCACTGGGAACTTATGGACCACCACTCACATAGAGATACTGCCATCAATTCCAGTTCCAGTTCCAGTTCCTATCCATCGGTAATTAAGGTCAGGAACTCCTCCTTTCGTTTATGGACTGCTGTCACTGGGAACTTATAGACTAACCGACTTGGAGATACTGCCCAGCTGGGATCACTGCCAGTTCCAGTCCTTTGGCCATGAAGATTAGGTACTTCGATGTTTTGGCTCTTTTCGTTTATTTACTGCGACACTGTGGACTTTTGGATACTCCTAGGCTGTGGAGTCCAACAGCCCTAGAGACCAGATACTGTTCTTATGGAAGCATGGGTATACTTCGCTTACTAAGCATAAATCTGTCAACTTTGTATTTCAGCGCTGGAATCCGGAAACTTCATCAGACTTATGGAGCACTCAGACGGAGATAATGGCCAGCTATGATCACTTCTAGTTCCAGTTAATCAGCAATAGAGATCAGATACTGTTTTGCTTTTGTTTTCTTCTCTTTTTTTATTTTGGATTGCTGCTGGACTGGGAACTTAAGGACTACCACCCACATGGAGATCCTTCGCTTACAAGGCTTAAATCTGACTACTCTGCTTGTCAGCGCTGGAAACTGGAAACTTCATTGTTGGCTATACACCTAATCTGGGTTATCTGGGTTCTTCAGATCGAATGTATTTGAAATTTAAGATTTTTTAAAACTTAAACTTAAACTTAAACATTTCTTTAATTTCATAGCAAACAAAGCAAGCTGATGGTTACCGTAAATTAATAATGAAACCAAGTATGTGGTTTGTATTGCAGTGATCTTGAATTGAACTTTCCAATTTCTTAAAATAAATATTAAATAAATTTAAATAAATGTTAAAATAAATATTTCTTAGTCTCTATTCTAGCTTATTAGCCACTTAAATCAACCATCTTTAACTTCATTACAACATTTACCTTTAAACATCAATATGATTATTGGATTCGTGAGAGATGGAGCCCAACAGATTGACAAGCCATGGGACTTAAGCAGAAATGGCCGATTTAAACGATGTAAACAGAGGAAAAAACGGAGACAAGGACAAACATTAAAGATTAAATTGTGCCTTTTATTGAAGATGGCTTGATGATTTTGAAAACATGATCTTGGATCAAGATGAAAATAAAATATAATTTTCCATTCTGTTATTAAACTTTAACTTGAATATGGGCAAACTACTGTAGTTTTGTAAAACATTCAAAATTTCTAGATTTGAAAGCTGATCGATTAGACATTAGAAAACAAACTCAACGAGGTGTAACATTGCATATTTCGTCCATTATTGGCTTGGTTAAGAACAAAACAAGGTCACTTTTTAGGGCAAATCTTGAAAACGGATTTTTGCTTTTTTGATAAAGGGGTACCATCATCTTTTTTTTCGGAAAATGGAAAAAAATGCAGATGCGTGAATGCAGATCCATTAGGAATTGCAAAACAAGCTCATCGAGGTATGGAATTCCCTATTTAGATTATGATTGGCTTGGTAAATGGACAAAATACTGTTATTTTGAGGAGGAATTCGGGATTAAGGAAAGTTCGCAAGGAAGGAAAGGAAATTTTCGCATAAGGCACAAGCCTTAACAGCAAGCTAACAGTCGTTGAAATAGCAGCTTTTTAAATGTAATTTTAAATAAGAAAGTAAAGGCTTAGGGTGTAAACTTTATGGTCTTTAAAAAATAAGCCAAAAACTTTGAAATTTATAAAGCTCAATCCTTGCCTTTTTGCTCTAAAACAATCTCCTTCGATCGGGAAGACTTTTCAACTTGATAAGCATTCTTAAAGGAAATATGATTGCAAAAGTAATAAAATGCTTTCAGCAAAGTCTTTTAAATAAAATTACTAAATATATATTTAGATCTACGATATATAATTAAGATTTCATATATAGTTTCATTATAAGGTATAGGATATTGACCTTCAATCGAGAGGTTTAAGCTTGACCAGCATTCATCTAAAAAGCTTAACCTTGAATATTCTAAACTCCCTTAAGAAAGGGCCTCTTATGAAAGTCTCTTTATAGGACTTAAATTCTCTGATAAATTATCAGATTTTTATAGCTAGTTCCATTATCCCTGTCCCACTGTACCTAAGCCTGGCGCACTCCCACTTTGAAAAGTTGAATGGAACAAGCAAACCTTTGCAAATTTACGCATTTTAACGGCCTCGCCAACGGAACTGACCAGGATCGTTGGAACGAAGGATATGAGCCTGCGCTGCTGCCCTCAACAAAAACGCTTGCGTTGACGTCGACTGCGACTGCAACGTTGGCCGAGGCAGTGACAGCGGCAGCAGCAGCAGCAGCAGCAGCTTCAGTCGACATAATTTTCAGTTTCCTTGCCGCATTTTGTGGCACTTTCAGGGGGGTTTTTTGGTTCTCGTTTTTTTGCAGTCTTCTTTTTTTGCTTTGTAGGGATGGGGCACGCACTGGCTGCCCACTGGCCAAGCAGAAATAAGAAGAAGATGAAGATGGAGAGAAAGGGTTGCTCTGCATGTGTGTGTGTGTTTGTGTGTGTGCGAAACCTTTGCTTGGCAGGCATTTTATTTATGCTGCGTGGTCGTTTCTTTGTAACGGGGGGGGCCAGTCCAGTCTTGCCTACCCGTTAGACGCACATTATGAGGGTATATTTTATTTGCAAAAAATTATGCAACAGGGGATATACCATAAGATAGCAATTTCGATTCTATTTTGGATCATGGATTGAAATTGAAACTAGTGCGGAAATAATTGGTCTGCGGATTTGTGTGTTGCAATCACAAAAGTTGATAATAATTGAATTAAATAAGCTTCTTTTTTAAGGTTTCTGATAAGGATTTTGGTTACGTTTTGCCTGATAGAAATGATCGTGAGTTTTCGAGCGAAAGAAGGTAGCATTTTTAGTACTAATAACTACAAAAAGGAAAACATAAGTTAAAAAAAGCAATATAAAAAACAGACATAGTTCTGGTTTTGTCTAAAATACACATAAAACTTGCCATTTATCTTACCTGATTTTAATTTTCCTCTTTAATAACCCTTTTTTAGAGCCAAAAACTATTATTGTTGGTCTTAATAGAAAAGTTTATAGCTTAACATGACTAGAAAATTCAGTTTTCTTAACATAACTACAAGTTTTTGAATGCTGCAAAGTGGATATTAAGGTTCCCCATGAAGCTGATCACAAAAAAAGCTGCC